TAGGGCCAAACCTCCTCCCCCCGTGAAGAGGACAACGGCACGGGCGGCGGGCACCGGCCCCGCCGCACCGCCGTCCAGTGAGCCACCGAGCCGCCGCATGAGCGGGTCGAGCCTCGCCACGAGCCGCGCATTCTGCCGCTGGTGTACAACGGGGAGGAGCAGCGGGAGGAGAGCAGAGGCGCGGAGCGGGAGACCGCCGAGGGAGACGGAGGGCGGTTGCTCCAGCTGCTCCTCTCCGCTGCACACCAGCGGCAGAATGCGCGGCTCGTGGCGAGGCTCGACCCGCTCATGCGGCGGCTCGGTGGCTCACTGGACGGCGGTGCGGCGGGGCCGGTGCCCGCCGCCCGCGCCGGTGTCCTCTTCACACCTCCAGGTGTGAAGTGCTGCTTCACACCGCCGAGCTGTGAACAGGTGCACGCCGACCGCGCCGCGATGCTCGCGCGGCTGGCGAGCCACGGCTGGCGGTTGAGAAGGAGGCATGCACAGTTCATAATGGGAAGTGATCACGAACAGGTGAGTCACGGCCAGGCGGGGCTCGCTCTCACCTTCTCCGGCGCGGACCGGGCTCTGCAGGCGCACCTGCTGCAGCTGCTGGCTGAGTGAGGGAAACAACTCACCGAGGACCCACTCCTTAAGCTGCAGGCGCACCTGCTGCAGCTGCTCGCCGTCTCAGGGCACGCACCCGAGTCGGCCTCGCTCGCCGAACATCTGGGCGTGTCTCCCCCCGCTTGTGCCGCCGCTGCTCCCAGCGGCACTGCTCTCGGCGGCGGCCTGCTAGCTTGCGCTCCAGGCATCGCCAGGCGTGGCACCGCGGCGGCGGGCTGCAGCGCCGGCGGCGAGCATGCGCCTCGCCAGCTGCCGCCGTACACGCTCCCTGCAGGGACCGAGGTGGCGAGCTATGAGGGGGCGGCGCAGTCCGGGTTGGCCGACGCCGCAGTCGCCTCGCTCCACCTCGCGGCGAGGGCGAGCCGGTTGCCAGTAGTCGGGGTCGATGCCGAGTGGGTTGCGGGGCGAGCGGTCTCCGCGTTGCCGCTGGAGAAGCAGTGGTTCGTTAGTGATGAATGATTAGTAACCGATAGGCGAGCCGTCGGCCTGCTGCAGCTGGATAATGAGTCATTACCTATTAATCATTGATGACTAATAAGTATTAGGCGAGGAGTCTCTCTGCTGCAGCTGGCCGCGGGAGGGAGGCACGCGATGCCGTCCGCCGGCCTCACTCTGAAAGATTGGCGGACCGCTGCTGAGGAGTCTTGCGAGCGAGCAGGTGCTTGCTGCTGCGCCTGCACTCGCTGGCGTGGCCGCAGGCGCTGACTTCCCTGCTCTCCGACGCTTCCGTGCTCAAGGCTGCGCCGGGGTAGGGCAGCGGGACCTTGCACAGCAGCCCGTCGTCTCAAGTCGCGGCCGTGCTGACGTAGGCCGGGGTGGGGATCGGGCAGGACTTGAGGCTGCTGCGAGAGCAGCACGGCTCGAGGGCGGCCGCTGTCCTCGACCTGCAGGGGTTGGCGTCGCGCTCTGGTTTCCATGGCGCGGGCCTGCGAGCCCTAGAAGCAAAGGAGGGTCCTCTTGTACTCCAACCGGCGGTCGAGGGGACACGTGCTCCGCAGCACTCGTACCGCACTCCGCCGGACTCATTGTATCTGTGTCGCTCGTGCTCACTCAGCGCTCTGAAGACTCTGCACAAGACCGTCCTCCCGCCCCGAGGCTGGCGTCTCCTCCACGTAGGTCTGCAGCGGCTCTGCGCAGAGGCCCCCCCTCCCCCCCCTCCCCCCCCCCCTCCCTCCCTCTCCGCCTCCCTCCCTCCCCCTCTCCCCCCTCCCCCTCCCCCCTCCCCCCTCCCCCTCCTCCTCAATTAAATCTTGAGCTTGGCAGGTGCTTGGCAAACACCTCGACAAGCGGGCCGAGGTGCGCTGCAGCGACTGGGAGGCGAGCACGCTCAGCGCGGAGCAGGTGCTACGCGGCAAACAGAGGGAGATGTGGGGAGATATGCGGAGATGTAGGGAGATATAGGGAGATATGCGGAGCAGGTGGCCAACGCGGCAAACAGAGGGAGATGTGGGGAGATATGCGGAGATATGCGGAGATATGCGGAGATATGCGGAGCAGGTGGCCTACGCGGCAAACAGAGGGAGATGTGGGGAGATATGCGGAGATATGCGGAGATATGCGGAGATATGCGGAGCAGGTGGCCTACGCGGCAAAGGACGCCCACGTCGCCGTCGACTTGTTCGCCCGCCTCCACGCCTTGCACGAGGAGCGGCTGCTGCCCGGGGAGGCGTCCCAACCCCCCCCTCACCCCACCCCACCCCACCCCACCCCCGCCCCCACCCCACCCCACCCCCGCCCCCGCCCCACCCCACCCCGCCCACCCACACACCCACACACTGCTCACCCACGCGCACCGGGCCTTGCATTTTGAATGCCGGTGCGGCTCCTGCCTGTCTAGACGTGGAGTCGCGAGGGGCTAGCCTGCCCCCTTGCCCTCACCACACTCGTGTGTGTGGAGAGGTGCACCTTGCCTCCCCGTAGGAGGCTCCCGCCGCGCTGGACTGGTGCGCGCCGCTCGTCGATTGCGAGGGCAAGCGTGGCCGCCGCCGCCAGCAGAGCACAGCGGCTGCCACGGCGGCACCACAAGCGGAAGCAGTCGCCGCCGAGGCGGCCGCCGGCTTGGCGAAGGGCGAGGAGGGCGCCGCTCCTCCTCTTGGTGCCGCGGACGTGCAGGCTTGCCTGCGTGGTGTTAACTCACTCTCGGCCACATCTCGGCCACATCTCGGCTAGATCTCGGCTACATCTCGGCCACATCTCGGCTACATCTCGGCCACATCTCGGCCACATCTCGGCTACATCTCGGCTACATCTCGGCTGCATCTCGGCTACATCTCGGCCACATCGCGGCTACATCTCGGCCACATCTCGGCTACATCTCGGCCACATCTCGGCTACATCTCGGCTACATCTCGGCCACATCTCGGCTAGATCTCGGCTGCATCTCGGCCATGCCTCGACGGGCAGGTCGCCCTACACAAGCTTGGCCTGGCCGCTCGTGCGTCCCTCGTCCGTACGTCCGAGGCGGAGCCGGCGGGGTGCTTGCCAGTCAAGTCCCTCGCAGTCTTTGTCAAGGGCCTGGCCCGCCGATCGGCGTGACCACCCGCCCAGCTCCTCCTCTCACTGCTGCTGCTTGGCGCTCCTCAGGAGAGCCGCTGGTCGCCGTCATTGCGAGCCGGCGCAAGCTCGACCCGTTCTCTCTTCACACCTGCAAGCTGTGAACAGCGTCTCTTCACACCTGCACGCTGTGAACAGGCGCAAGCTCGACCCGTTCCGGCTGGCGAGGGAGAGGAAGGCCACGCTTTCCTCTCGCGGCGAGCTCCTCCACACGCCGCGCGCCGGCGCTGCTCACCGAGGCGCACGTGTGAGCAGGCCACCCTCACCTCCCTTATATCTCCCCGTATCTCCCTAGATCTCCCTGCTCACCGAGGCGCACGTGTGATGTTAGGTTACCCTCACCTCGCGCCGCGCGCTCAGCCGGCAGGCGCTCACCTCGCCCGCAGAGTGCTATCTCCCCTCATCTCCCCCCATCTCGCCCCAGCTCGCCCCATCTCTCCCCAGCTCCCCCATCTCCCCCCAGCTCCCCCCATCTCCCCCCATCTCCCTCCATCTCCCCCCATCTCCCCCCATCTCCCCCCATCTCCCCCCATCTCTCTCCATCTCTCCCCAGCCCCCAGCATATACGGCTATCTATCCGGATGTACAGAGAGGTTATGGGCCG